TCAGTTAAAATATTTAAGAACATCGGCCAAACATAATAAGTGATTTTCACATTTGTAAAGAAAATCAGAGAAGTGTTTGCCCGGGCAAAACTCGCCGTCATTAGGATGGACCTCAGGTCTTTTGTTTGCTAAGGTTTTCTGAGTGTTTCTTTTAGCAAATGGTGACAAATTGTGCTCCAAAATGTAGTCAACATCATAAATGAAATCAAAAGTGATGCTACTTTTTAATGCGTGAATCATTCATCAGTGCATGTCACTGCAAAGAGAAAAAATACTAATTGACTTTAATAGTTCAGCTGTGTACAAATCCCTAATCCGATGAGAAATACTGTAGAGGTGCATCAGAAAGCACCACTAATGTGATGATGCATTTATATTGCCCTTAGATAACATAATTGCTTCATGGAATTTGTACAACAAAACAATGTAATTTCATGAACTCACGGTCAGACTCTCGATCTGAGCTTGTGTGTGTGTGTGAAAGAGAGACTGAGATCTCACTCAGGCACAGGAAACAGAGGGTTCCTGTTTGTGAGCCAGGCACTATTGTCTTCCTCCCTCCCTCTCTTTCTCTCTCTCTCATAAACACACTTATCTGCAATTGTTCCCTTTAAATCATATTTTGTCTGCCTCATCTATAGAGGCTCACATTGGAGCCATGGAGTGTCTACAGTGCTTTCTCCTTTCAAACCCTAAATTCATTTTCACTTTTATCTTCTTTTTCTTCCTCTTTGCCTCCTTCTACATATTAGAAACATTTTCTTTACACATCAGGCCTCCGGTGATCCTACATCCTGCTTAGTTACTGTTGCCTGGGTTAACAGGGATCGTTTCAAGGACATTTTCCACCACTGGCGATTCACTCCTAATATATCTCTCACTCACACTCACACGCACACACACACACGCACACACACACACACACACACACACACACACGAAAATGATTATTCTTTTTTAGAATTAAATAAAATATTTTTAGAAATAAAAAAATAAGACTATCTAAATAGTTACATAGGCCTAATTTATATATATCATTAGTAATATAAACTAAATAAATAAAATAAAATACTTTTTTTCCAGCAAGGACATATTTGATCAAAAGTGAGAGTAAAGACTATTAAATGGTTATAAAAAGTTTATTCAATTCACATTTATTTGTATAGCACTTTTCACATATTGTTTCAAAGCAGCTTTATAGAAAATTCTGAAAGATGAAAAATGCTGAATAAGATGCATGTCTACATTACAATTTAGAGTTATCTGACTCTGTCCAAAGTGTGTGTAGAGGTGACTGTGTCCAAGTAATGAATTTCAGAAATGTACATACACATGTCTATATTTCAAATAATTGTATAACGAAAAAATGTATGTTTTTCACATTTTTTTAATTGCTTTTAATAATAATAATAAATGATTCTTGAGCAGCAAATCAGCAAATAATGATTTCTGAAGGATCATGTGGCACTGAATACTGGAGTAAATATTCAGCTTTGCCAGCACAGGAATAAATATTATTTTAAAACATTAAAATACAAAACAGTTATTTTAAATTGTAACAATAATTGGAATAATATGTTTACTGTATTATTTGTCCAATGTAGTAGCTCATGCTGGGGACAATTTTAGACCTAAAGTGTAGCTGTAAACCTACCCAAACACACACACACACACACACACACACACACACACACACACACACACACACACACACACACACACACACACACAGTCGCACACGCACGCACAGTCGCGCACACACACACACACACACAGTGCAGATATCTTCTCTCTGGGTGGTGGCAGGGGACCAGAGTTTAAGCATGTAAGCTATTTAAGCATCTGGATTTAATGCACCATTAAGGTCAACGGCTGACCAGTCTGCACCTGTAGATCTCCCCACCAAACCCAACAGCCCCTCCTCGCATTCTGTTTCTGCTGCCAGTCTTCACTATTTCTACACTTTCTCTCTGTCATTTCACCAAAGCTCCCACATTCTGAAAACAAAGTTTCCAATTAGAAACAAATGTTTTTAAGAGTCTTGTCCCTGAATCCCTCTTTTCTCTTTCGACCTTTATCTTATTCTTAAGTTCTCGGTGTTGTCCTCCTCACACCCTCGTACCCTCCATCACCCCCTCGTTCCCTCCATCACCCCCTATGTCTCAGTGCAGCCTGTTCTATTGTGTCTGCCAACTGCTCTCTGCAGGATCACAGGTTTCCTGAGCTGGAGAACTGGGGACTGGCAGTCTCGAACACTGTGAACGGCCAACTTGCTTTTTTCCCACTGTGCTCGTGTATGTTCTGCTCACTGAACACGTACTCCTACGCAAACGCCCAGGCAGCAAAGAATCACACAGATTACGAAAAGAATCACAGCCCTTACAGTCTCCACAGACAGACAGACAGATAGACAGATAGATAGATAGATAGATAGATAGATAGATAGATAGATAGATAGATAGATAGATAGATAGATAGATAGATAGATAGATAGATAGATAGATCTAGAACTACAAATATAGTGCATGCCTTTTGCATGAATTTTTCCATATTTATTTTTATTTGCAATATCATTTATGCTCTTAAATCTTTGGTAATAATAGTTTTGAAATCAAGGAAGTGCTGAACAAAACAGTTGACTGAAAGGTGCCACACAAATTCCATCCTTGGCTATATTTCTTTTTTTACAAGCACTTGCAGTATTGAGAGAAGCAGTCGCTGACAAGTGTAAACATCACTAAGAATAACCTCGCGTTTGCTGGGAGGGTGATGTTTTTCAGGAGCCTCAGTGCTGTCTGTGAGTGATGTTTATACCTTCTTGGCTGGTGAGGAGGTGTGATGGGTCATGGACTCGCTTCTGTTCTCCGTGCTGAATGGGCGGATGTCACCCGCGGCATCCACAAGACACTGAACTGCGCCAACAGCCAGGAGAGACAGAGCCGAACACGGCTTCAGACTGATACCGCGCAGGCGTTTCATTTCCTGCCAGGGTTACAGATAAACCAGTGCATCCCACTCAAGGAAAACGTGGCTTAAAGGGTTAGTTCACACAAGAAGGAAAAATCTGTCATTAATTACTCACTCTCGTGTCGTTACAAACCCGTAAGACTTTCGTTCATCTTCGGAACACAAATGAAGATATTTTATATGAAATCCGAGAGCTTTTTTGTCCCTCCATTGACAGCTAAGCAACTACCTCAAGGTCCAGAATGTTTGGAAAGACATAATTAAAGTAGCCTAACCCGGTGGTTTAACCTTGATTTTATGAAGTGACACAAGTGCTTTGTTTGAAACAACTTTATTTATAAAATAATATTATCCAAAGCACCTTCACGGAACTACGTCAGCTCTCGAGTCAACAGAACACTCATGCGGCGTGGTGCTCCTCTTTCAATATTTTTGTAAATAAAGAGTTGCTTCATAAAATTGAGTTTAAACCACTAGAGTCACTTGGATTACTTTAATGTGTTTTTATTACCTTTCTGGACCTTGTAGAGCGTTGCTCCCAATGGAGGGACAGAAAGCTCTCGGATTTCATAAAAAATATTTTCATTTTCAAAGATGAACAAAGGTCTCACGGGTTTTGAACGACATGAGGGTGAGTAATTAATGACAGAAATTTCATTTTTGGGTGAACTATCCCTTTAATAGACCTTATACTATGTATTAATTGATTAGATTGATATTCTTAAACAAAAATATGTCAATCAATCAATCAATCAATCAATCAATCAATCAATCAATCAATCAGTCGCCATCTCTGTTCGAAATCTGCAATTGCAGTCATTCGCGGAATTATCAACTTTACGTGAGTTGTACTTCGACACGGCACAGCGTGGATGAACACAATGTTTGAGGAGAGTGAGAGGCTGTCAGTCACCGCGCCGGTGTGGATACTGGCATTCACAATCACAGATTATTCTTTTTGGAAGTATGACCAACATGTCGGAAAATGTCATCTGAAGAAGTAAGAAACATCCACTTTTGTTCTGGTTCTGACATTGCAGTAAATCGCGCTTTGTACTCAAATTGTTAATGTTAACAACGTCAGCATTGCGTGATGTAATGTCCTTCCGATATGTATCCTTGTTTTCGCATGGGTCCGGTTGCAGTCTCTTTTTTTCTGTAGCCACTCTGAAGTCCGAACGAAGTCTTTTGCATTCTACAACGGGTGAATCTGTTGTCACTGGTGATTGTCGTTTGAACCTTTCTGGATCCGCCATCAAATTGATAAGTTTAATTATATCAAGTGCTGTGAGAAAAGGCTATAAATCTCCACCTCCAGCATCCTCACACGCATAGCGCAATATATTATTATTATTATTATGTGTACAGATGTGACGTAATGACGCAAAGACATGCTCGAATCTCCCGCGGAAATCCACCAGTACCACTGGAATTAAAAACATTATTACAAGCTTACCGCTTTGAATCGAGCTAAGGCAAGCAGATAGTTTTGAACACTGGCTGGTTATGTATTTTCTCAAATATGTATTTTGGATAATTTTTAACCCCCAAAAAGCTACGGACTGCAGCTTTAATATTTAAATGGACAACAGACTGTTTTAAAATACATCTCTTTAAAATGACACGCTCTTTCAGTTTATTAAATATATAATTTCTTTAGCATTTAAAACAGTAGATTTCACTTATTCTTTATTTAAGAGAAAGCAAGAAAATCATAAAATAGGGGTTTAGATGTTTAGGATATTTTAAAGATATTTTAAGGCTGGCTAACTAACTAACTAACTAACTGGTTAAATAAAAACATTTAGTAAAAAAATGCCATTTCCTAAACTCCTAAACGGTTTCAACTGTTACACATTCAACTGTACAAAATACAAACAATAAAACAAACTTGGGTTTCTTTATTGTTCTTTAATTTAATATTTAAGAGATAAAAAGACAGTTATAAAAATACTGAAACATGGTTTAAATTAGTCGAATATGGTCCTGTAGTGTTTGTTGTGCATGGTTCTAAGGACGTACACTACATGTTCCACAATGCTTTTCGGCATCTACGTCATCAACGTGCGTTATTTTGAAAGTGGTGAGCTGGCTTTGGATCATAGACAGTAGCTTTGGATAGCGGGTGAGAGAGTTTATTTGTATATGATCAGTACATTTTCATTGTACTTATTCAATGTTTAGCAGCTGATCATTGCTATTAAGTTAAAAGATTACCTCCGTGTTGCGTTGGCTGTCAGATTTCATTGTAACCACCTGTAATCATTAGCATTCATGCTAGCAGTTCAATCCGAGTGAGGATCAGTGTACATTTTTAAAGAACGCCAGTGTATTTTATGGTTTTTCTGTACTATTCATTTCTTTATCTTCGGATTTCTTCTGTCTCCAGCACTAGCCATATAAACTGTAACTGTCAGTTTAATCGAATGCACGGGAAGTAAAAGTTTCTTTATAATGTATCGTAATATAAGCATACTAATAAGTATATTTTTATTTTTAATGTAAAATATTCATACAGTGTTCTATGTATGGCCAAATCTAAATGGCCACTTTGAAAGCAATAAAGAAAAACAGTGTGTGTCATCTAAAATAATATTAAACAGTACTGTTTAACCTCATAGAATCATATTTATCCTCATAGGTGGATTCTTCGGTTATAATTTTGCCCTCCTCCATCCCACAATCCTCTGAACCATGACCAAGCTTCTGGAGTGGCTTCTTGGTTGTTCGCTGATAGGCATGGCATGGGGACTCGTTACCTTTGACCTTCTGGATTTGCAGCTGCCTCCCCAGTACAGAGAGCTGGCGTGGCCGATGCCTGTGTATCTGCTGGTGGCGTTCGGCTGTTATTCTCTGGCAACTGTCGGCTACCGTGTGGCCACATTTAATGACTGTGAGGACGCAGCCAAGGAGCTGCAAACGCAAATAAAGGAAGCCAGAGCGGACTTGAAGAAGAAGGGACTGAAGATGTGAGAATTAAATGCAGCTCCTGTTTTTTCTTCATATACAAATGCAAGTCTCATGTTAACTTTCTGCCCGACATTTCCTCTACATTGACACTAGGCTAATTCCATGGATGTCTGCGCTATAATATGCACTCAAAGCTGCCCAGCTTGGTTCAAGTCTTTATTTCAACATGATGTAAATGATGGTTTGAACTATAGCCTAAACACCTGTGAATGATCTATTTCCAGCTTCAGAACAGGCTTATTTAGAAAATTGCAGGCACATTCATGTATTGTCAATGCAGAGCAGTGCTATTTTTGTACAACCTCTAGTCCAGAGTGTGTGTGTTTGCATTGGCCTGGGAATGAATATGTCTTTTTTGACCCAGATGTTTTTAACAGAGTCAGAATTCTGAGTCAGACTTAGAAACAAACCCGCTATGTTGATTCACGCTTGAACAAGGGTAGCGTTAAAAGATGTGGAATAGGATTTTGATGTAAAATGTAAAATTGATTGTGTTGAGGCTCACACGCTGTTGTCCCTTTTACCTTAAATTAGGGTTTAAATTTGTAAATTCAATCCAAGTAATTTAAAGCACAGTATGGGTCAAAAACATTTAATCTTGTGGTCCATATTAAATGAAGTGACCTGCTTGTGTATTGAAAATAATGCACAGATGAAAACTGTTTTTCCTCTTAAGACATTCCACATGTTGAAAATGTTTGATACAAAATGTGACTTTGATACAAAATACAGACTGATTCATTCTCGACTGTGTTTAATTCATGTTCTGTTGCTCTTCTCACAGTGTTGGGGAGTAACTAGTTACATTTAAGTACAAAGTAAATGTAACTGTAATCCATTATAGTTACTGAGAAAAAAATGCTTCATTAAATTACAGTTATGAAAACGATTACAAAGGGGGTTACATCTGAATATGTTCTTTAAAAAGCTAGGATATGTTGAATAATATTAATTTGTTGCTTTGCCTGTTTTTGATGTGCACGACACCTGCCATCTAAAGGCCATTGAGTAAAGCGATGCTCTTCATTGGTTCTCTTGTTTGAATTTCCAGTGTTTCCTGTCATAGCTATGCAAAGATTTGATTTCAAAAACAGTATCGGCTATTTCTTGTTATGATTTTAAATCTGTATTTAACTTCAGAACAATCTCAAAGTAAAAAATAGCTGCTAAAGTCTGATTTTTGTGGTGGTTTGCTTTGAAATTAAGTGAAGGATTTTGAAAGTCTGACAGTATTCAGTGTTGAGGACTACTGTAAGGTTAACCCTGCCTGGTTTAAATGTTTCAAAATGGTTAACAGTTGAAAACATTCATTAGAAATTTAGAAAAGGAATCAAATGTAATCAGTTACATTATTAAAGTAATAGAAATAGTTACACTACTTATTACATTTTAAATTGGGTAACTTGTAATCTGTAACCTATTACTATTCCAAAGCAACCTTCCCGACACTGTCTTCTTATTAAAGATGGCATGAAACAGAAGTCTCGAAGGGCAATTGTATACCCTGAGTTGGTACTTTTGAATAATTACTTTGAGACCACTAAAAAAAGTGTGTTATATATATAGTATGAAAGTTTGTAGTGTGAATGTAAACCGGACGTACTACATTGGCAATGTTGTCATTATCATGTGACCTAACAGCATCGCTTCACTTCCATTTATAAATCCTCCCCTGTGGCCTCAAGGGATAGTAAAGTGTCCATCATATGCACACTTCATAATCTCGCCGGAAGTAGTAGGTCATCCTACATTTTGCCTACTCTTTTACTGTGAATTTTGACATACTTCCTCTGTCGCATACTGTCTGTTTTTCGTCTACGATATAGTGTGATTTTTGATGCAGCCCAAGTCTTTTCTTTCTAATGTGATGTACAGTATATGCGCGTGAAACAGATCCTCGAGAAAAAAAAAGTAAAGTGGTACTTGGTTTTGTTTGTCAGGAATTGATTGGATGGTTGTGGTTTGCTATTGGTCGATCTTGTGAGTGACAGGTTGTCCCGCCCTCAGCCAGTAAACACCTCATCAGAGAAGAGATGATTAAATAAAATATGAGGGCAGCTGAATTTTGAAAAATGATGATGTGCACGGATAATACTGCAATATTCCATAAAAATAACAAGAATTGTCCATTTTGATTTCATGGTGACTTTAAATGTTGGTCTCAAAAAATGAAGTTCTGTGCACATAAATTCTGAAATGTGATCCAGGTCCATGTGTTGGCTCTTAAAACACTAATCCCAAAGCCACTAAGTGCACACGGGCGCTGTATATAGTGCTGAATTAATCTGGTGCTTTTGGCAAGCAAAGCTCATTCGTTCTCTTCAGGCTTAAAGTATGCTGCTGTAACCTCAAAATTTTAGGCCCCCCTGTGAGCAGGCCTATACCTGTCTGTAGAACAAGAAAAAACTTTTTTTTTAATAAGTTTGCACTTTCTCATTCGAGAAGGCTCCGCCTAACTGCTGATTGGCTCCTGTTCAAAGCTCTGATGTGATGTCACCCCCTGCAGCTTCTTACAAGCTGTTGTTAGTTAAGGCCTGTTTTTCACAAACCCATGTAGCATATGAGAGAACAGCATCAGCATTTTCCTCTGAAACCACAAATTAATTAACACCACGTTTATGCTTTGAGATGCAGCTTAAACTGAGCAAAATCACAGTGTTAAGAGTTTTGAATATATATGTGCCTGAATGGAGAAAGATTCATTGATCTGATGATTCAATGACCCATTATTGAGAAGCAAGAAAGAACATTCTCTTCTGCACGGGAATTTTCTGGTCCGGATCAATAAATCTTTCTTTGAAACGTAGTCATTGTCAGTCTGGGCATGTTTAAAGCACACAAGTAAAAAAAAAAAAAAAAAAAAACCCCACCTAATTTTGTGCTCCATTAAAGAATGAAAATACAGATTTAGAACGACAGGGTGAGTAAATCTTCCTTTTTTGAGTGAATTCTTTCTTTAATTTAAGAGAATGCATAAAGTCCAACAGCTTTTAGATGCTAGTAAACATTTGTAATAGTTATTTCGAGTGGTGGATTTCAAAGACTGATTGACAATGAAAGTAACATTTTGTACAACATGGCTAAAAAAAAAAAAAAAGCACATTTGTCTCAGCTGACCTGTTTCAACTGCCTTTAGGGGTTAGAGACGCCACATTTTGTGAAATGTAAGACAGGTCATGCTGCTGTTGTACGTCAAGAGACCTTTATGCCCCATACTTCACATTTTGTCTGTTATGCAACATGATACTTCTTCTTGTCTGTTTTTGTTGGGAGAATGAACTATATGTGCCTCATTTAGATTGAATACATGGTTATAACTCAAACCAACAGTGACCCAAAAAGGAATCTGGACACTGAAAATGTATGAATGTTATTATTTGATCACACAATGGTGTTTAATTTAAAGGCGTCCTATTATTCCCTGGCTTTTACCAAGTCTTGATTTCGTTTTTGGGGTTTACTAGAATATGTTTATTAAATATTGTACATATTTTACATTATTACAGCTCCTCTCTCCCCAGTCTGGTTGAACCATAGACAGTAAAAGAAGGGTTGAACGTCGGTTTCGGTGAAGCCCCCCTTTCGAATAGAAATGTGCTGTGATTGGTTAGCTGGCCCAGTGTTTTGTGATTGGCAGCGTGTTCGGGAAATGTCCCGCCCCTTCATAACCGCGAGCTCTACTCAGATGTAAACAATGGCGTCAATTTCAAACAATTTCGAGCCCGTTTCAGACTCTGAAATGTTAACAAACAAGAGGATTTTGCAAACGGATTTCAAGCAAGCACGCATTTCACATGACGTTTCAGAGTGGTACGTTTTTTTGTGGTATTTTTCTTATAGATATGATGTTATCCACCATTTAATCATATTGCTCAGAAAACTATGGTAATACAAACAGTAGCCTAATTGATCACAAAATCATGGATAATTTTCCTAAGGAGCGGTGAACAGTCTTACAAAAGCAAGAGCTTACAAAAGCTAAAGTAAACACTACATCAATACTGTTAGTTAGCAGGCTATAGCGGAGGCAAAGCTTGTCCTTCGTTTACATCATAGCAACTAGATAAAGGTTATAATTTGAACTGTTAATAGAAAACACAACTACAAATAATAAGACAAACTTATAAGTTGTGATCCATAAACAACAGATTGTCCCGACAAAATGGGAATGGCTACGTCTTACAGGAGAAGCTTTTGTGTGTAATGCTTTATACTTTCTTCTGGAAGCTGTTCTCTGTAAAATGTGCAGCACAGACAAACGTTAAGGTCATAACGTTCAGGAACAGTGTTAAAAATAAATAATAACCTCACTAAGTTCGCCAGCCTTAGGACAAACTTTTTCTGGGGTGTAAAAAACAGAAACAACAACTCTTCCTCTTCTCTAAAGCAGCCCAACATGGCTGACCCTTTGTTGCGTGGGGCAGTGTTACGCGTTTAAAGATGTATAAGGGGATGATTACATAACATTTATGTGAGACACTGTTGCTTTGTGTGGATGCAGGAAGAACAACCAAGAAACTTCAATTAAACGTTAAGAGGAAACGTTTATTCTCTTTGAATGGAAAAGCTTTAAACATGTTCACCTAAATTAAATAACAAGATTGTTCAGAAAGAAAAATAACACACGAGAAAACAAAGACAGACAAGAGTGTCGCCAAATTATCGAAATAAGCAAAACATAACTGATATCTAATTTTAAGTGTACCCGTTAAACTAACTGCCACAAAAGAAAAAGAAAAACAAAACCGAGTTCTTCAGCGGAATACGCCGCCTTAATTAAACTACACTAAATAAAAACAGAAATACAGGAATGGCGAACACTCCACGCCTACCTAACACAACAATGATTCCTACCTCCCGTCATGATTTCGCAACAGAGAACTCAATGCTCCAGATGTAAGCGGATCGGCTAGGCATCTCTTAGTGTCTTACTAAAACTCAGGTCAGGCAAAAGCATTTACTCAAATCAACAATAAAGACAATAAGCGTGAATCGTGGTAGTGGTTTCGACAATGTGCTCAGAACACGCAAGTTGGGTGAGATCTGGCGAGGATCTGTCTTCCTAGTTGTGGATGGGCCTTTTAAACTCATGGCACAGCAATGGATTGGTCGAACAGATGATGACGCCCCCACAATGACGTCACGTGCCCGCAAACAGCCAATGCTCGGTCACCACCTGAAAGTAATGAATGGAGACAGAACAGAAACACACACACACAAATACACGTGGAACGTAACACTTCCCCCCTAAAAAAAAGAAAAAAACATCAAAACATGAACAAAAGAACATGTTTTTTTTTTTTTTTCTTCTTTCATTCTAATTCTCAGAGCACACCAGCTTAAACTCTGGACAAAGCGTCCGCAATTATATTCTCCGCACCTTTCTTGTGTTTGATCTCTAAATTGTAGTCTTGTACCATCAAAGACCAACGCATCAGCCTCTGATTATGATTGTACATGCGACCTAAAAACACTAAAGGATTGTGATCCGTGAACACAATCACAGGCAGATTAGTTGAGCTCACATAAACATCAAAATACTGTAGAGCCAGTAATAAGGCCAACGTTTCTTTCTCGATTGTAGAGTAGTTCAATTGGTGTTTATTGAACTTACGTGAAAAATAACATACTGGATGGTCGATACCAGAAACGTCTTCTTGCACCAGCACTGCCCCCGCACCAACAGAGCTTGCGTCAATCTCGA